CAGCATTGGTGTCGGTGACTGCAATAACAAACCCCAGCATTGTTGTCGGTGACTGCAATAACAACCCCCAGCATTGGTGCCAGTGTCTGCAATAACAACCCCCAGCATTGGTGTCAGTGTCTGCAATAACAACCCCCAGCATTGGTGTCAGTGTCTGCAATAACAGCCCCCAGCATTGGTGTCAATGTGTGCAATAACAGCCCCCATCATTGGTGTGGCTGTCTGCAATAACAACCCCCAGCATTGGTGTCAGTGTCTAAAATAACAGCCCTCAGCATTGGTGTCGGTGTCTGCAATAACAAACCCCAGGATTGTTGTCCGTGTCTGCAATAACAACTTGGAGCATTAGTGTCAGTGTCTGAAATAATACATTCTTGGAAGTATGGCTCATCAATGGAGGGTGCTGTATCTGGGACTGGAAACATCATGAGCAAATGTATATATTCACCAGCACACCATGAATCTCCAATATGGTCCAAAAAGGTTTTTATCCCAAAAAGATTACATCACAAAAGAAAGTGCAACGTTTCGGAGCCACGCAGGACCCTTCGTCAGCCATGTGAGTGTCTTAAATAACCCAACAAACAGGTGTCAATGACTAGAATAACAACCCCCATCATTAAATTAGAGCCACTGTCCCCTCTCTCAGATTTTGCAGCTTACCAAATCCTCTAATCCTCCCCTGCTGTTCCATACACAGTGCTGACTGTGCCAGAATAGTTTATACAGTGTAACTTGCCTTTGGGAACCCATACAAACTATTCTGACACAGCGCCGCCAAGGCCGTGTGATTAGTCAAAAAATACTCAAAACCAGCTGATAACACAGCCCAGCCAATGTGGAATATGGATCCTGAGTTTTCTAGCAGTCACCCTTGTACTTGTGGGGTGGGACAAGCCCATTCTTGTATAATCAATGCTTGGAGTTTGTCAGGATTTGTGGGGGGGGGGGGGTTTGTTCACCCCCTCTTGAGGATTGACCACAAGTTCTCAATGGGATTAGGGTTTGGGGAGTTTCCAGGCCATGGACGCAAAATTTCGATGTTTTGTTCCTCAAACCACTTAGTTATCACAAGGTGCTCCATCATGCTGGAAAAGGTATAGCTGATCACCAAACTGTTCTTGGATGGTTGGGAGACGTTGCTCTCGGAGGATGTTTTTGTTCCATACTTTATTCATGGCTGTGTTCTTAGGCAAAATTGTGAGTGAGCCCACTCCCTTGGCTGAGAAGCATCCAAACACATAAATGGTCTCAGGATGCTATACCACTGGAATGAGACAGGACTGATGGTAGCGCTCACCTTTTCTTCTCTGGGCAAGGTTGTTTTCTGGATGCCCCAAACAATCGGAAAGAGGATTCATCAGAGAAAATGACTTACCACAGTATTTTTTGCAGAATATCAGTCTGTCCCTGGAGAGAAGTGGCTTCTTTGCTGTCCTTCTTGACACCAGGCTGTCCTCCAAAAGTCTAGAAGGTTTTGGAGGTGGGTGACGGGTTTGGTTTTCTGAACATATTGCACACATATCTACAGTATATGCACTATAGGCAATGAAGTCAACCAGGGACAACAGGCAATGGAGCTTGACAGTGATTAACAAAGAGATGGAGGTGTATGGATAGAGATAACACATTACATAGATGTGGTTGCCTTGACATGTTTTTGGTGAAGATATACTAGCTATTCTGCCACAATCGGTGAGAGGGCTACGTGATGGGTCAGCTGCTAGTAAACATTCACTACTTGTAGCAGATGTTCCTCTAAGAGTGTTCAGGCAACAGGGACAGTGAGACAGGAATTCACTAAAACAAAGAAGACTTTTTCTGGCAGTAAAGTCCCTTTAATACAGCCTGTGCCTAATTCATGAAAGCTTTGCGACACGTGCCAGATTGAGATACTTATTATTAACGTTCCTGGTTCCTCAAACCACTTAGTTATCACAAGGTGCTCCATCATGCTGGAAAAGTTATAGTTCATCACCAAACTGTTCTTGGATGGTTGGGAGAAGTTGCTCTCGGAGGATGTTTTTATTCCATACTTTATTCAAGGTTGTGTTCTTAGGCAAAATTGTGAGTGAGCCCACTCCCTTGGCTGAGAAGCAACCCCACACATGAATGGTCTCAGAAACTTTACTGTAGGCATGACACAGGACTGATGGTAGCGCTCACCTTTTCTTCTCTGGGCAAGGTTTTTTTCTGGATGCCCCAAACAATCGGAAAGAGAATTCATCAGAGAAAATTACTTTCACCAGTATTTTTTGCAGAATATCAGTCTGTCCCTGGAGAGAAGTGGCTTCTTTGCTGTCCTTCTTGACACCAGGCCATCCTCCAAACGTCTAGAAGGTTTTGGAGGTGGGTGACGGGTTTGGTTTTCTGAACATATTGCACACATATCTACAGTATATGCACTATAGGCAATGAAGTCAATCAGGGACAACAGGCAATGGAGCTTGACTGTGATCAACAAAGAGATGGAGGTGTATGGGTAGAGATAACACCCTTGTAGAGATGTGGTTGCCTTGACATGTTTTTGGTGAAGATATACTAGCTATTCTGCCACAATCGGTGACAGGGCTATGTGATCATCCAGCTGCTAGTAAACATTTACTACCTGTAGCAGATATTTCCCTAAGAGTGTTCAGGCAACAGGGACAGTGACACAGGAATTCAATAAAACAAAGAAGACTTTTTCTGGTGGTAAAGTCCCTTTAGTACAGCCTGTGCCTAATTCATGAAAGCTTTGCGACATGTGCCAGATCCAGGTACTTATTATTACCGTCACTTTTAGAATCTGTCGCTATGGCTGCAACAGGTTCCAAAATAATTACTGCCAGTTCACACATAAGGAAACTGGAGGTAATTAAAGTGTTACTAAACCCAGGACCCTGCATTCACTATATCTGGTCTCCCACAGTACACACAACATGGAAATGCAATTATTTTAGTATATACGTATAAACTGCTTAATAACTTTTCCCATCAGCAGTTAGAGCAGTCATGTGACTTCAGTGTCCAGCTGAGTAATGGTTAAAGCTTGTAGGAGGAGTTTTCATTCTCCCATATGAGGCTGCATAACCCCTGACCCTCTGTCTGGACAGCGCTGATTGGCCCTGTGCTGATCACATGCACACTCCCAAGAAAAAAAAAAAACTCTCTAGCAATACACACCAGACTGAGCATGTGCAGCTTACCCCCCAAGCCTCTGTTCTATCAGCAGATTGATTGAGGACAGTAGCAGAAGGGGAGGATCAGAGAAGACAGGATCAAACAGCCTTTTTACACAATGCTCAGGGTTAACCCCTTAGGTTCCAGAGTGAGTATAACAAGCATGCTTTACTGCATATACAGACTAATTTTACTGTTGTGGGTTTAGTAACACTTTAAGTCAAACTTTGATCTGGAGTACATGGCTGCTAGAATGCGAGTGACTGCTGGCTTCCTAGCAACCGATACTTATCCCTGGTCCGGTACATCTGCCGGTCGGGAGATTCCTCAGCCAATTGCTAAATGTAAATTAAGTGGCAGGGATACTGGTAATGTCATTAGGAAGGTTTTCACCTAACTGAACAAATACTACAGGAATGTCCTTGCTACAATGTGTATATACTATGTATATATGAAAAAAGACTGAAAATTTTGAAAACAAAAACCATTTTCTGTTAAAAAACATATCCAATAAAAATCGAATTTCTTCATAAATTTAGGCCAAAATATAGGAAAGTTATAGCAACCACAAACTATGGGATAGATATGTAAAAACTGATCAATCCTGATGTACTGATATCTCATTTCTTGAGGACCTTAGAATGCAAGAAAAGTACAAATATCCCCCACATTACCCATTTTTTGGAAAGTAGACAGTCTGAGGTATTTAGTAAGAGGCATCACAAGTTTTTGAAAGTTGTAATTTTTTGTCACAATTTTTGGAAAATGAAGAAATTAAATAAAATGTGTTTTTTTTTTTCCCCACAATTTTTTGTAACACACGGTCACCAGCACAGTACAGCATCACAATTTCACTGGTGTGGCGGTGATCTGGGAATAGGATAAAAATGAATGAACCTCTCCAGATGAGTGTGTAAACCATACGCCCCTCTAAACATCAGCAGGTGCTGGTCTGATCCATGACCACGCCTGCATAGGAAAGCAGTGAGGGTTGACCACACTCCATAGATACATCAGATAAAACTTCTATTTATTACACCTTCATATAAAAGCAGCAAATATCACAACTCCAATATAAGGACAAGGAAAAGTTAACGCATTTCACATAAAAACACGTGCTTAGTAATAACTAGGAACACTGATTGATGACAACATATTCAAAAAAATTATATATTTTTATTCAATATTTTAAATATTGTTTTATATTTTTGAACATTATTTTTCTATCTTTTTTTACAATGTTTTAAAAAAATACTTTCATCAGAGTAGTTTAATGTTACCATAGTAACATTTTACTACTCTTGGGGGGGTGAGCAGGGATTTTTTTTTTGTTTTACACTTTGCTGGTACAGTGAAGATCATTGTACCAGCAATGCTTTGAACTGTCATGAATGGGTTAAGTTCACTACAGTTCAGAATACTAGTGATCTGTGATTACCTACAGCTAATCACATGATACAGGGTACTGTGATTGGCCCAGGTACCATGTGATAGCTGTGGGCCAATAACACCTCACTAGTACCAAAAGCAAATTTGTTATGAATGAAATTAATTCATAACTGCTTTTCTGACATTGTGATCATGTAATAGCATTGCATGATCACTGGGTCCCGAGTACTGGGATCTGTATTCCGCTGTGTAATCTACAGCGATCGCGTAGTGGTGGGGGGTCTGCGCTGCGCCCCTAAAAAAAGCCCAACTTCAATATGCTTCTTTCTAAAGTAAAATGTATCTTTTTTGTTACCTTTGTTTTTTCCTATGAACACACTAGTGACACCCTCTTGTACTTTGATCGGGAAGTGAAGAAGAGAAGAGCAGAAGAGGCAAATCTATGGAATGAGCCACAAGACGTGTCACACACTGAGAGGGATGATGACAGAGAACTGTACAACTTGCTGCAGAAGAGATCTCGAACACGACGAGGATCAGAGGTCAGTTAATGATTAATTGATATTTGATGACATTTATTAGACATTTTTAGGTTCCATGCACACTGGCTTATGTCCACTTTGTTATAATACCACTAACAGCTGACCGTGGAATATTTAGTTCCAAGGAAATTTCACGGTTGGACTTATTACACAGGTGGCAACCTATCACGGTACCACGCTGGAATTCACCGAGCTCCTGAGAGCGACCCATTCTTTCACAAATGTTTGTAGAAACAGTCTGCATGCCTAGGTGCTTGATTTTATACACCTGTAGCTATGGAGGTGACTGAAACACCTGAATCCAATGATTTGGAGGACTGGCCCAATACTTTTGGCAATATAGTGTATGAGAGTGAAAATCCAACTCTCTGCCCCTCTACTCAATTTCTGCTCATCATCCTGAAGCCCCCCTGAATGTATGTATATATATATATATATATATATATATATATATATATATATATATATATATTTCCAGATGTATTCTGGCCAGTCAGACATACCGGGTCCCCTTCTTCTTTTCTTTGGCACTAAGCAATTCTCAGTGATGCATAGCAGCAATTACAGCATCGCTCTCTGCATCCCTACACTGTGAATGAAGTGCACCCTGATGATATCCCCTGTACTCACAGAATGTCCTCAGTCTTCTAGGTACAGTGAAGAAAATAAGTATTTGATCCCCTGCTGATTTTGAATGTTGCCCACTCACAAAGAAATGATCAGTCTAAAAATCGAATGGTAGGTGTATTGTAACACAGAGAGACAGAATAGCAACATAAAATTCAAAAGAAATGCATGTCTAACAAATGATGCACTGATTTGCATGTTCATGAGGGAAATAAGTATTTGATCCCCTATCATTCAGCAGGATTTCTGGCTATCGGGTGTCCTTTCATACAGGTAACAAGCTGAGATTAGAAGCAGTCTCTTAAAGGGAGTGCTGCTAATCTCATTTTGTTACATGTATAAAAGACACCTGTCCACAGGAGCAATCAAACATCAGATTCCAAACTCTCCACCATGGCAAAGACCAAAGAGCTGCCAAGGATGCCAGGGACATCACCAATAGATGCCACCAGACTTCCAGGTTGTACGATGCACAGCATCAGCATGCACAGTATCATTCTACAGTACCTATGGTACTCTGAAATAAATAATAATTAACCCGACATTACCTTTTCCCTTTTTATGTCCAAATCCATCATATCCCTTCTTAAAGCTGAAATCTGGGATGAGTTAGAGTGTAGAAAAACATATAGATTTCAAACACTAAAGAAGGGTTTATCTAAATTAAAAAAGTGCTGGATGGTTACAGGTCTTCGAACATCAACAAAATAACATTTAGTTTAAAACCACTTCCAGTCCAATTTTGACTTTCCTCTCCTACATGTAAAAAATCTTTTTTGGGGGGCTAGAAAACTACTTAGAAACCCCAAACATTATAAATATATTTTTTAAGTAGAGGGCTTAGAGAATAAAATGGTGGGTTTTGCATATTTTTATGTAACACGCTATTTGCACAGCGGTTTTTCAAAGACAAATGTTTTTAGAAAAAATACACTTTACTGAATTTGAATGTACACAAAAACAATATAATATCCAATTGTTTTGTAAAATATAAAATATGATGTTACACCAAATAAATAAATTCCAAACATGTCACATTTTAAAATTGCGTACACCCGTGGAACTGCGCCAAACTTCGGTACCTAAACATTTCCATAGGCGATGCTTTAAAACCCTTTACAGGTTACCAGTTTGGGATTACAGAGGATGTCTGAAGTAATAATTATTGTCTGACATCCGCAGTAATACCTCACATGTATGGTGCGATCACCGTTTGCATGCAGGAGCAACACGTGTGTTCTCATTTGCAAGCACATGGGAGTGCTTTTACATTTTTTAAAATTTTATTTTAATATTTAATTCTTTTTTTCTTTATACTGTAACTTAAATTTTTTTTTCACTTTTATTGTGACAGCATGGGCTGAGACAGGTCCTTTTTTTGGAGAGATCTTGGATCTATTAGACCCCAGATGTCTTCTCTAGCCTCCAAAGTATTGGATCAAACCGAGATCAGTTTGAAGAAAAACTGAAGAAAAACCTGTTTGTTTGTTTGTTTGTTTGTTTGTTTGTTGTTTGTGTCCATGTGTAGAGTGAATCTGTATGGGAGTGGTTTTATAATTAGCAATCAGCTGCTGCACCTGCAGGGCTCTAATGAGGGAAATTGCAGGGTCTGCATCCCTTCAGGACCAGTTCACACTAAATGCGTATCAGTTGCTTTTTTTCTGCATCCAAAACACACAGAAAGTAGGTTATATGGTTGTCAATGTCATAGTTTACATCAGTGCTTGCAGTTCCAGTGCGTTCCAGTTGCAGAAAAAAAAGTAGAAAAGGCTGCATTTTTTCTGCACAGAACTGTACTGGAATGCGGTAAAATGCATAAAAAAATGCACCAAAACACACCAAACATGCACTGAAACACACACATACCTGTTTATATTGAAGAAAAGGAGAGGGGGAAAAAATTAACCTGAAAGAATCAAAAATGGTTTGCGTCAAAAATGCGCATGCAGAAACACATCTGGAACGCAGCTGGACTGCATTTTTATAGTGTGAACCTAGGTTCACACCTAAGCATTTTCCGCAGCATTTTGCAGAAACACACTACAGTCCATTTAACATGATTTCCTATGGGACACCTTCACATCTCCACGTTTTCACCCATTGCATTTTCTAGAAAGGGTCAGGGACTTCTTTGAATGCAAAAAGTTGCGGTTTTGGTTCTATAGACTTCAATGGAAACGCTGCAGAAAAGCATGTGGTGCATTTTTTGCTGCGTTTTTATGTATTTTTGCTGCATTTTTTAAAATCTACCTAGCAACAAGAGAAAAAAAATAAAATAAAAAAAATGCAAAACACACTGCAGAAACAGATCAAACGCAAACTGCATAGGTGTGAACCTAGCCTTAGACATGATTTCCCTTTATGAGTATCTCACCAAAAATGACATTTTGTTAGAGGATGCCTGAAATCTGACTTGTATCTTAGTGCAGACTTCTGGGAAAATCAGTGAGCCAATCAGACAAGCAGGAAATTACATTTCTGGGAGGCGTTCTGTATGCTATCTTTGTACAGAACACCTCCAGGAAAGCCATATTGCATTGCATTCTACAGAGAATTAAAGTGCTGCAGATTGAAAAGGAAAAGTTTTAATAACATTCAGTGAAAATATGACTTGTATTGCAATTGTATACACTATATTATTTTTGTTTTATTTGCTTTTTTTTTTTTCCCCATGGAAGTGGAGTTACCCTTTAAGCCTAAGGCTGCTTTCACACGGATCTGTTTTTCTTCTGCTTTTGCGTTATAAAAAGTGCAAGAAAAACGTGTGATCGTGTAATGCACGGGGCTCCATACAGCCAATCTGACAGGACCCCCCACCAATAAAAAAACACAGTTTACTAGGCTTCAGTTATGAATGAACACAGTGAGTGATTGGTACCGATCACTCGTTGTGTTCATTCAGGAAAGGAAGGGCTAGTAAATGTGACATATTTACAGGACCCTTCTCCCACTCTCCATCCTGAAGGATCCTATTATGTACTTGCAGCTGCTGGTAGGAAGCAGAGGAGGGAGGCAGTGGCACTGCGGGGTGGTGGTACACAGGGGGGGCCTGGACAGCAGGGGGAAATGTATGGTGAACAGGGATGGTCATGGATTCAGCGGGGGGGCAATTACTGGAACCGATCCCCGGTATGGCTCTCTACAGCAGCTGAAAGCCAGGGAGAGAAGAAGAAGCCAACTTTCAGCTGCTGCAGAGAGAGCCATACAGGGGATCGGTTCCAGTAATTGCCCCCCACAATGAGCTGATCACCCTCCCTGTCCACATCCAATTCACCCAGCTGCCTGGGCCCCCTTGCTGGCCTGGGCCCCGTACAGGAGGACTGGTGGTACCCCCTTATCCATGGCCCTGCCTATGGAACTCTTCACATTGATCTGTTGGGGGTCCACTGCATTATTTAAAGTTCTTCTTGCTGCATTTATGGTGCAGGTTTGGTGCAGTAAAAAAAAAACCCACAAAAACCCACCTTCCCATTGAAATAAATGGAAAACATGGCAAAAAAGCATTTTTGGTGCGGTTTCTGAGTCACATGTCCTTAAAAAAAAAAAAAACACGGTTTTACTACGGATCAGTGTGAAAGTAGCCTCAGACCATAATAAAAGTAGCATGAATTCTCCCCCACCCAATCCTGATGATGTTGCCCCTGGTCCTGCACTGGTTCTGGCAGATGTGATGACACTGGTGAGAGGGATAGCAACAGGACCAGCCAGAAGAGCCATGTGGAGTGGCTTTGGCAAACCAAGTGACACATCCTGAACTATAATGGAAGTAAAATAATGGGACATTGGAGATAACAAGCAGTAGATTCTTTACCAGCAGGAGGGGAAGGGAGGCAATTTTCATTATTTTTGAAGTAGCCAAAGTTAGGCTTTAACACTTAAAGCGGAGCTCCACCCAAAAGGGGAAACTCCACTTGTTTGCACCCTCCCCCGCCTCCACTGCCACGTTTGGCACTTTTTGAGGGGGAGCGGGTACGTGGTTTTGACAGGTACCCGCTCCCAATTCCGGCTCAGTTCGCCTCAACAAACTGAGCCAGAAGTTCATCCCCGCTCATTCCTCCCATAGTCTTCACAGGTCTCTATGGAACCAACCACAAGGCGCAATAGGAAACCAGCTGTGAAGCCACAAGGCTTCACTTCTGATTTCCCTTACTTGCAATGCTGGCTCTGGGAACCCAGAGGCTAGTGAAGAACTAGCCCGGGCGACAACGGCACTGGACCCCTGGACAGGTAAGTGTCCTTATAGTATTTGTAACTTCTGACTTTTAATTTTTTGGGGGGAGCCCAGAACTCCTCTTTAAGCTCTTGCGTCCAAAGTCCACTTATGCTGCTGGGTCTCCTTAACATATCACTTACTATTTGTATGGGTAAAATGT